TTTTTTTTTTTTTTTCTTACTTCTATAAAATAAAGACTTATCTTATCATTAACTTATTTATAATTAAAATCCTAATGCATTCAAATACTTATAAATTAAAATGCTAATTCATTAATTTTTAAAATACTTATCAATTTTATTGTACATAAATTTTTATTTTTACACTCATTTTCACCTTCCATATAAAAGTTTCAAGTGCCTCCCAACTTAAAATGCCCGATAAGAAAACCAAAAATTTCTTAAATTCTGAAACTGAGTGGACCCAAAACACAAGCTTCATAAAACACTCTTCACGTCCCTAATGATTTACCGTCACATAACGGGAGCAGAAGGCAGAAAACCCATAGCCCCACTACATAAGTGCAACCCTCCTGATTCGATTCTGCCTTTATACAGCACCCTATCAATTAATAAACTTTCGCGCTGGCCTCTCATGTGATATTCTCCAGCATCGTAGTGCGATGATGTGGCCTCAAAGTCGACATCTTTTTTAGTGCCCTTCTCGAAATTCTTAATGCAGCTCCCGATCTCCTCTTCAGGCCCACGTTTTCTATCGGTAAATGAGAAGTTATAACGTCGAGTGCTCTGTGGATCAAAGCTGCAGCTGTCTGTAATTATTGAAGAATCGTCGTAGCCATAGAGCTGCACTTGCCCGGTATACATTTTATCATCAACGAACAGTGTGCAGAGGCAAAACTCTAGTTTTATTTTGATAAATTCAGATATATATGTTAATATAACAAGTACAATGATGCCCTCATAACCTGCTTCTGGGGAAGCTCATAACTGCCTAGAGATGAAGCAGCTACAAGTACAGTAGGTCCAGCTGCACTTAAAGGTGGATCTTCTGATGCAGAGAAGTCGGAACTATCAAAAGTCGAGAGAGACACACACTCATCAAAATATGCCATGGCATCTTCTGTGAGACATTTTGACATCTGCTTTATTTCATTGCTTGCCTAACACCAAACAAAGCCAATATCATCATTAGCTGTAAATTAATATTCGCACATCATTTTACCAACTTAAAATACAACAGGGAATAAAAGAAGGGGAAAAAGAGGCAAACAAAAGAGTAGGCTGATCAAGGAAGTTACTTCTATTCACAGGAGATACAAAATATTTTGCAACACTAAAGAGCATAAAAAAGTAGGTTCATGGGCCTATGGAAGATTACTAATTGTTAGTATTATAGAGTAATATTGTTGTATTGAAGGCTAGGTTATGTGTATATATGTTTTGTGAATATAGAACATAATTGATTTTTTTCCACAATTCTCACATGGTATCAAAGTAAGAGTTAGGATCAAACATAAGCTAGATTTTTTGTTGCTCGTCTTCAGCCTCCGTCGACTCTCACTGCCCCAGCCATCCTCTACTGCCTCTCGAGACAAGTCTTCGCCTAAAATTTGACGGCCACCATATGCGCGTGTGGGCCTCATGCACCTCGTCATCGTCACAGTGCCGAAAGCTTTCGCAAGCCGTTTGCCGCTACTTTTCAGCTGTCGACTCATGTCCACGTTGGCTACATTCTGGTCCGATCAGATTTTGTACTCGTAAAATTTGAAGTTTCTGCCCGTACCGATGTCTTGTCTGACTCGTATTTTGACTTCTTATGCTTTGGGATATTGTGTTGGTGATTATCTGATATGGATCGTTTAGATGTGCATTGTTCTATCTTATTAGGCCTCGTTTGTTAGGGAGATTAGATAAGATAAGCCAAGATATCTACCCTTAATCTTGTATTTGCTACCCACGATTCTGGCCCGCACGACATGACACGGCCCGCGATGCACAGTGCCTTTATCGTGCATATTCCCGATAAATGGGTCTGGGCTGAGAGGTGCGATTGTAACATGTCTGAACAGTGTTTCTATATGAAATGACTCTATTGTCCCTCAATTACCACTACCTAGTTCATTGATGCAAGCCTGCAACCATCGCCTTAATCAAAAATTTTCGGCAGATCTCGTACCTCCATCTTCGCCGCCACGTTCTCCAGCCTCTTAGTGCCGGTGCCACCCTTCACCCCTAAATACGTGCCCTCTAACTTCTCTTCAGACAGATTGGAGAACTGCGTGACGCCGTGGACGGCGGTGGGGTCCATCGTCTGGTGCTCCGCCGCCATGATAAGGTTCCCAACGGAGATCCTCGGACAGTGCAGGTACTCCGAGCGAGATGCGTCCTCCCTCCGGTACTCTTGTCATAAAGTTCTTGAACCTGAGGTCTGCCGCCGTGCCAAAGAGGTGGTTGTTGGTCACTTGGAGGATTTTTGAGTCTTATTGCAAATTGTTACTCTTTAAGTGAAGATTATTACTGGGAGAGAAAAATTTCGGGTGAAGATTGAAACTGTGCGAAAAAAAAAAAGATTGAACCGATGTTGCAAAGGAAGGCGGTGCAGATGTATGTAGTAGGAAAAAAATTTGAAGGCACAGATGGCTATAGAAATCTGATTAGGAAGAAAGAAATGAGAACTAAAAAATAAAAAAAAATTAAAGAGGAAAAAAAATAATTGAAAATGGTAGGGGCAAAGTTGACAATACACAATTATATCTTATTAGTTATCTAAAGAAACAAACATTGTGATAAGTGAAACACTATCTTATCCGAATTAACAATCATACGTAACAAATGTGAGTTTACTTTTATCTACACAGTACAATCTACCTTTCCCATATTAATTTAGTCTAATCTCATCCGGCGAAACAAATGAGCCCTTAGAAGATAACTATAGTCTTTAGATAAAATCTATGAAAAGCTTTTTAATTGGGAGAAAATTAGAGAATTTTGAGTGGTGATAATTATTGGAAGATAATTATTGCCACCTGTTGGGGATACCAACCCCACCGCACAATTTTTACACTATATGTTGATGGTTATGTAACACTTCAGTCCCTGTTATTCAGTTGCAACTTGCTATAATTGATGGTGCTAATGAGGCTTGGGATTTTTTGGCTGCCCGTTATCTGACTCATTATTATCAACTTTGGAGCACCTTATATTCCACCAAGAAACAACTAGGTCAATCAGTCAATCAATGGGTTTTTTTGCACAAGTACAACCTATTCGGTATCGTCTACGATAGGCTGAGATTAACCATGATCATATTGATCTTATTCGGATTTTGATGGTCTTTGTACTGAGTATGAGGTTCTTCGTGCTTCTCTTTTACATTGTCATCCCATGCCATGCCTACTCTTGATATTGCTATTCAAGAGATCATTTTAAGAGAATCGTTTTCATTGGACAAGACACCACAACTTGAGTCCCCTGATTTTAGGTCGTCCGATTAATCGCGATTAATCGTCCTGGTCTCTCCCAAGTGCTCGATTAGGAGATCCGACCCGACCAGCTCAATCGTCCGACCAGGGCATATGGACGACCAGGACATATATTTGTCGTTTTGGGCTGGTATGTGGGTTGTTGGGCTTGGCTTGTTTGGCCTGTTAGGGTTAGGATATATATAGGAAGGAGGCAGCCCGATTAATCTAGCTGGTCGACGATTAATCACGATTAATCGTCTGGTCGGTCCGTGGTCGACCAGGTTCGACCAGCCGACCTGAAAACATTGCTTTTCTGCATTATTTGTTCCTGCATCTACTTTTGCTCCGTCCCATGAGTGTCGACCATCTATCTCTGGGAATGTAGGATGAGCAAGAGCTCTGAGCACACTTATGCCACTTGTCCTAAAGTGGAGTGCCACATTTGCCAGGGTCATATCTCCAAATTGTCCAGCCAAACCACAACGGTCAGGATGTTCATCTTTCTCGATATTGAGGGTCTCGTGGGTCTTCTTTAACTGCTACTTCCTTGTTACAACGGTTGTCACAATGAGCCTCAGCACTCGTTTTACACTATTGAAAATATAGAAGTTATTCTCAAACAGGTTATCTATTAAAATTCTGAAGTCTGTTACCGCAGGTAAACCTTATTGGCATTTTGCTTCTAGATTCTGCAATCACATGACCTCTAATCCACATTTTTAGTCTTCTTCGGTTATACAACTTTTTTACCTCCTATGCATACTGTTAATGGTACTCATATGAATATCACTCACACTAGCCTTGTTTCTTTCCTTTCCTTGCATCTTTCCGACACATACTACATTCCTGACTTACATTGAATCATTTCTTCGTTAGTCAATTAGTTGCACAAGATCTTACATTTCATCTTCTAAGGTTCAGGTTCAGGATTCACAGACGAGCAGCTTCGCAAGACAGGCTGGCTATTTGAGCTTAAGTCTCTTCATTCCCCTCGCTCTTACTTCTTTCCTGCTGCTGCCACCACTCATCAGTCCATATTTCAGTGGCATTTTCGTCTTCAGCATGCGTCTTCAAATAAATTTTGTTTTTTATATGATAACAAAGGTCTTTTAGGACTAGATCATTTTAAGTCTTTCAGTTTTTCTATAAACTAGTATGTAACCCATGCAATGCACGAGACAAAGATGTTAAGAGGATGATTGGATATAAAAAAATTTGGTTTTGTTTGGGTTTTTTTTTTTGGTTTGGTTAGTTTTGAAAAAGTTGGTATTGTTAGTGGATATATTAAAATAATATTTAAAATAAAATGATTAAAGTTGATTTGATGTAAAGTAGGAGAGAGAAGATTTGAAGTGATGGTTAGTTAAAATTATGTGAGTGGATGAATAATGAATTAAGGTGATGTGGTGTGTAAGAATGATTGATTGATTTTATTTAATTATATTGATAATATTGATGATAGTGGGGATGAGTTAAAGTTGAGTTAAAAAAAGTGGTTGATTTAAAAATGTTTTATTTTTTTGAGAAATTTTGTATCCAATCATGCTCTAAATGAGTCATTTCCATTTGGCTTGTGCTTTTTGGCCTAAAAACCAATAGAGTTGGATAATTTATTTCCCACCTTTTAATCAGCGTTGTTTTTTTTTTTTAACATGAGCGTGTTAGCGCTAGCTTGTAAATTAACTAATATATTATCCCACTAACACATATCAAGAAAACATAACAAGTTTACATATTCTTATTCACCATATACTACTTAAGTATTATTTTATTATAAAATTTGTTATCATATAATGTCATTTTTATTATATATAAAACTTATATAAGTAGTATTCTTCTTTTTTTTATGCAATTAATAATATATTAATATTATTTATTAATGTAATTAAATTACATTTTGTAAATAAATTTGAAATAAAATATTGTGTATAAATATTTTACTCAACATATACACGTTTTTTTTAGACTTTATCTTTTTATAATAATTAAAAAACTTTGATTTATCAATTGCTAAAAACTAAATTCCTTTTATATTCAAGAGATTTTTTACAATTTGCATCCTAAGGTTTTATAATTTATTTATGAACGGAAGTATATTTTACAAGAATTTCATTATGGAAAGAAATCAAAATAAAAAAATAATAAATAATATTAATCACAATAAAATACAAATAAATCACATGTTGAAATTCTAATGAATAATTAATATATTTCAATTCTATTATCTGGTCATCAGCAAAGCCATTTAATGTATCTGGTCATTATCTCTTAGATGATAAAATATATTATTTCAAGAATATTTGTTTTTTATATAATGAAACAAAGTTTAAGAAAACAATTATATTGACAAAGATTAATTCACCCAACTTGATTTCGCGTGATTAATTGAAAGAAAACTTTTTACTTAAATCATTATAATTTTCTATAAATATTTTAGGTGATAAGTCAATATTTGTGAAAAAAAATTAATAATATGATTAAAACTTAAAATATGTTGTCATGTTTATCTTAACCAAAATATTATCAAAATAAATTACGGAAAATCACTTTTGTAGTTTATTATAGTGGATATCAATGAAATTATTGTAGATGTCAATAAAATTATTGAAGGAAACAATCTTTTTTATCATAGCTGATTTGAAAACGTGTATATGCAAGCAATTAATGCACATATGTAAATAGTTTTCAAATAATGTATGCATTAAATGTTTTCGGATCTTTTTGGCTACTATTTTTAATAAATGCTTATTTTATTTATATGTATATGATAAATCTTTCGTTTTGGTACATTCTAAATTTTGGGGTCCATTCCATGTTGCCTCTATGAATGGTTTTGGTACATTGTTATTTTTGTTCATGATTTTCTTGTTTAACTTGGGTCAATTTTCTCAACATTATTCTGAATTACCTACCAAATATATTCAATATGTTAAAATAATTCACACGCAATTCTCATGTTATATAAAGGTCATGCGTACTGACAATGCCCTTGAGTCGAATGATTATACTTCTTTTAAATTTTATTTCTCGCACAATATTTCAGCGTTTATGTACTTATACGAGCTTCGGGTAAAACACCGTTACAATCTTGATACTTTCCGTTCTCTTCTCATTTATGCAGCCTTGACTATTTATGTCATCAATCCACTACCATGGTCCGTTCTTCGAGATATTAGTTATTTCAAAAAAGATATTAGTCAATTTGAAAGATTGTACGGTCATTCACCTGATTATACAAAGTTACGCCCTTTTTGTTGTGTCTGCTTTGTTCTTCTCTCATCGCATGAGCAAAACAAATTTGAACCCTGAGCTCGTCTATTTTGTTTTTTGGTTATGGGTAGAACACAAGGGGTTTAGGTGTTGGAGATTTTATTTCTAATAGGTTAAGTATTTTGCATCACATAACCTTTTGGGAACATGAGATATTTTCTTCATTGTCTAAATTTCACACTCTGTTTGGTTTGTCATCCCCCTTTTCATGTTCATTACTCAGGGTCTCTTTTCTGGCTCACAACTTATTGACCTGCATGTCACCTTCCTCTCCTCAAGTGGCTCCACCTGCACATCTTGAACCGACACTTCATGTTGACTACTGAGTCCACTCATGATCTTGTCCATTCACTTACCATTGATCACCGACGACCAACGCATGTAAGTTGCCCCGTGCTCATCTACTTAACTATCATTGATATTTCGGTATTATCTCATCATGAGCCTAGGTCATTTCGTGAGGCAATGCTAATCCATTGTGGAAATAATCTGACTCGGTGGAAACAATCTATGACTCACAGAAGTATAGCATTATGAAGAGACATTTTCTCTGGTAGCTCGTCTTATTACTGTTCGTTGCTTACTTCCCGTTGTTGTTTGTCAATGGTCTCAGTTAGATGTCAAGAAAGGCTTCATTACATGGTGCCTTATATGAGGTGTTTTATATGACTCCTCGGGGCCCTCGCCGTCTTGGAAAGCTTCTCGTCCACGTCGAGCTTTGTATGGTTTGAAAATAAGTGCATCGTGTCTGGTATGCCACGTCTAGTTCTGCATTTCAATTTGGTTTCACTACAAGTGATCACGATTCTTCCCTGTTTCATTGGCGCTCCTCATTTGGCATCATTATTATGTTGCTTTATGTTGGCGATATGATCATCACGGGAGATCATGTCTCTAGTATTTCGGATTTACAATATTATCTTCATAAGCATTTTGATATGAAGAGTTTGGGCCAACTCTGTTCTTTTTTTTTTTTTGGGGTCTTGAGATCTCCGATTCTTTTGATGCATATTTGTCTCAATGCCTTTGATCTTCTTGCTCGAGACGGTCTTACTTACTGTAAAACAACTTCCACACTATGTTCGTCTTAATCCACTTCATGGTTCTTCTTGAGGATCCTACATTATATCGTCATTTTGTTTTGTCAGGAGTTTGATCTATATGACTATCACTCGACATAATATAACTCATGTTGTTCATATTGTGAGTCAGTTTTTATGGTTGCTCCAAGAACCACTCATCATTGTGTATCATTGTGTTGTATTGCACATCTTTCGCTATGGGAAAGGTACTCTATTTTACACATCTTCCTTGACACTTAAAGGCTATTCTAATGCAGATTGGGCTGGATCTGCTCCACTACTAGTTCTGCTTCTTTCTGATTCACTCGTCTCTTGGCGCACAATAAGGAGCAAAACCTTGGTTTCCAAATCGTGATCGAGTGTTGAGTACTCTTATTGATTCCACCTCAGAGCTACTGTGGTTGCGTAAGCTACTTGCTGATTTAGATGCACCTTGACTACTCTAGATTATGATAGTCAGATTGCTACAAAAATGTCTCATGATGATACCTTTAATGAGCGCACCAAGTATATTGAGATTGACTATTGAGATTGACTGTAACTTCATTCGACAACATGTTGTGCATGAGACTGTGCAACTCATTTTCTCGGTCGCATTCTTAGCAAACTCAAGTTGATCTCCACTCTAACACATTGAGTTTGAAGGGGGATGGGACCGGGGGAAGGGGGTGTCAGTTATAATAGAGTACTATTGTTGTATTTTAAGCTAGGTTACGACTGCTAGGTTAAGGTCCATCTTATGTCTTTATATATGTGTACATGTCTGTGGATATACAATATAATTAATTTTTCCACAATTCTCACACTGAAGATTGTTGAGTGCCTCGTGCTAGTGGACAATTGAAGTAGTTATCTATTTATCTTTTATTTATCTTTTAGATATAAAGTTGTGGCCAAAATTATCTATTCATTGCCTAAAGAAAGAGGGAAAAAAAAGAAATCAACTTTTTTAGGGGAAGTTCATGCGATGCAACCATAGAGGAGGATGATGGATGCAGGAAAAAAAAATATTTACTTCAAAGCTTAAAATTTCAGATGAATGTGAATGTAAATAAAAATCCCTATGACATAAGCATTTGTATTTTTTCCAACTTCCAGAGACCTGTAATAAAAACATGTATGACAGTTTCACTAGTCATAAAGTAAGGTAGAAATCTGTCTTTCTGGAACAAGCTATCAAAAGAGACAACATATCAAAAGAGACAACAAAGAAGAGTCAAATAGTGTACCTTTCTTCCTCGACGAGATTTTGATACAAACGGTATGTTTGGATCAGGAGGTATCTCCTTGAGTATTCTATCCAGCTCTTTCCCACGGTGCTGTTCAACAGCAAGATCTGCTCTAAGTTTTCTAGTGCGTTCTTCAGACTGCACCAAGCCAGGACCAACATATTTCATGACAATTATAAGAAGAATCTTCTGCCTAAAGTTCTCTAAAATATTTACCTTTTCCAGTTTTATGGCGTATTTCCTTCTGATTTCTGAGATCAACTCAACAGCTTCAGTGTTTACAAAATTAGAAGGCGTACTGACAATATTTGAGGCTGTATTATTTCGTTGAAAAGCCTAGATTCAAGTAAGGGGTTTATCAAAGAGATTCGTTTGTGAAGATGAAACATAAATAATATGAACACAAGCGGATCATAAGCCCAAACCAATCGAAATTTATTGCAGGGATTTAATTGCAGTTTGACACACATTCACAGAGAAGCAAACTCAGTGGCCAAAACATTGGTGATAAAGTGGGTTTTTCTTTCATAACTTGCACCAATTTGTAAAGCATGATTTTCCTAGAGTTGTAATATGAAATCATATAGTTGATGGAGTCAGATTACCAACATTTAGGAGACGTAAGGCCAGGTTTGCTTATGGTTTTGTTTCTGATTGTAATTTAGTTTAATACTGTAATCCGAACTTGTTTGCTTCCCACAGGTTGGGAACCAAGCCTTAAAACCACATCTTCACTGCGCGAGTTTTACCCCCTACCCCCAAAACAAAAAACAAAAAACAAAAATAAGCCCAATCAATCTTGACACAGCCAAAATACGAGGGACGCATAACTTTGGTTTGGCACTCAAACTATTGTTCTTTATTATATTAGTCACCAATAATTATGTAGCCAAATGTGTGCTCCTTTCATGATAAATTAAATGAGCAACTAAAAGATAGCTTTCAAAAGATTTTAGGCTTTAATTACTTCACATTATTAGGGATTAACAGTGTTTCAGAATGGGACTAGCGGGGAGCCTGTCTAGGCTTGGCAACCTAGCGCCCCATTTTTTCCTAGATGGCCCTTCTGGGACTCATGCAATTAGGTGTCATGTAGGCGTGTTGGGTGGCTTGAGAAGCTATGGCGCCTGCGCCCCATAATTTTCATTTGTACTTTAAAAAAAAAATTATTTACATAACATAATAAAATATACTTAGATTTTATACACGGAATATACATATAAAATTAAATAACAAACAATGTTAAAACTTAAAACTAATATAGGGTCGCGATAATTTGTATATTTTATATATTGTATCTTGTGATCATACACGATGAAAAATGTAAATATATTTATTAATATTTCACGAATCCTAACAATCCTTGCGTAGGCACCCTATGCGCTAGGTCCCAGTCTGTCCTACAAAGCAAGATCTAACGACTTTTCGAAGATTGGTAATTGTTCGGTGAATAAAAACTCTTGGACCCTAAACATACTTTTTCGTTTAAAAATAAACCAAACACACGCAAAAAAATG